TCCACAAAAAGCAAGTTTGTGAACTATATGTTTGTGACTGTAGCATTTTCCTTTCCAAAAATGATTTATGGCATTTTGATTGGTCAAAGAAGCTAGAATGGGTCAAACCTGCAGCCAAATTTTGATGATTCGCCAACATCCGAACACCCCCTATATACGGAGTATTTAATAACTTCTACTTATATTTAAATCTATTTCGCATTTAGTTATGTTTGATTTGATTGGATTTGATTTTATTAGATCTGATCTAATTTTAATAAGAATAAATAGCAAGTTGAAAAATAAGTTGAATAAAACGAGCCCTTAGAGGTTACAAATTGGCAGATAAGGTTGGCTTTGAATTACTTTGAAGGGAAAAAGACTAAAATATAAGTAAAACATTGAAAATATACCAAAATAGGATTTTTATATTTTTATTCTTGAAATATGAGTTAAAATGCATTTACATTATCAAACGTGGTCATTTACTTTACCAAAAAGTATAGTATTGTGCACATATACAGTGTCACATTACAACCACATTACCATAGTACAAATTAAACTCTTATTTCGGTGGTAAAAATATGGAAGTCTTATTTTGATTTTTTTCTATATTTTAGTCTTATTTAAGATGATTTCTATACTTTGAATTTAGGATATCTAAATTTATATCAACAATTGCATTTTCAAAGGGTTTTAAGAAAAAAATAGGGTTAATTAAATTTTTGGTCCTTGTAAAATGAGTAAATTTTACTTTTAGCCCTCTAATATACGGAGTATGTTTTAATTAAACCGTGTTAAATACGGAGTATTTGTTTCAACCCGTGGTCTTCTCAACAACTTAGAGTTAATTTGTCAGAGTTTAAAGGGACCAAAAATCACATTATTTTGGATTTAAAACATTTTCGAGGGACCAAAAACAAAATCACTAATTTTCTAGGGACCAAAAACGAATTCACCATTAAATCTAAATTAAAAATAAATATCAAAAGGAATATTTGCAAAACAAAAGAAATTATTTACCGGTATGAACGGAATATTATTTTAGAGAGACGAAAAGAAAAAAGTCTCTTAGTTTATAGGGATCATAAACATATTATATCCCAAAAAATAATATTATAATATTATTTTTATTTCATTATACTTCATGTTAAAGCACATGATTTTTAAAAGTTTACCTTAAAAGTGGATCGATCAAGTCGTGTTTACCCATTTTTAGTAGGCCTATTTAAGTTCGATCATCAAAACTTTGTTTAAAAATTACTCGTAGTATTTTCAAGTCAAATCACGGTTAAAAATAGTTTGGACCCATTTTTGTCACATCTAAATTATTACTAGTATGTGAATTACGTAGTATTATGGTATAAAAAAATCAACCTAAATACGAGTAAGAGATAGAGAAAGTTTTAAAATAGAGGCTTTGTGTTTTCATTTTAAAATAAGAGTTTACACTGTAATAATGTAGCAATACTGTATATGAATATTTGACAATACTTTTTTGTATTATATATTGACATAATTGGCATTTTATATGCATTTTAATTTCTATTTTTGGAACAAAAACACGAACTCCTATTTTGATATATTTTCTATATTTTATTTCTACTTTAGTCTTTTTTCCCTTCAAAAAGGGAGAAACAGCCCGCCAGGATGAAGCTAGAGACTATATCAAACTAGGCTTGATTGAAAGATTATAGAGACTATTAAGTGGCCCCTCTCTTTGCAAAAATATTTTTTATTTTGACTTTTGATATATTTATTTCCGTAATTTGCTAGTCAAATTATATCTTTATTAGCATAGAAGAAAAAAGATAGACAAATTACTTAAATAACTTATTATATCAATGCAAAATGAATAGAGTATATTGTAATGACTTTATTTAAATATATTAATCGTTTTTTATAAAAGTGTAACTGTTTTGAAGAAAACAAAAAATGGAAGAGAGATTATTTTGAAAAGAGGGGGAGCATGTGTTTTCCACTTTTCCCACATCATATTTTAAACTAATATTTTTCCTCACTAATAACTTGCACCCACAAATATTTCATCTTGAAGATTACTTAGGATTCACGCCATCTTCAAAAGTATGTATAAGTCACCTGCAACGTTTCCTTTCCCACAAATAAAAAAGTGAATCTTCTTTATCTTTGAATAAGAAAGCGTTGTTGGTGACTCGTGCATATTTTTTTAAATATTATTTTTTCATCGCTTTTCCAAGTTCTAATTTATTATTTTTTCATCTCAAAAGAATATTTTCATTTTGATATTTAAAAGATTTAAGGGAGGAGTATTTTTGTGGTAAATCTTTATTTTCCAAAAATGTTCTTGATGTAATAAGTAAAATGCAAGATGTGATATGTAGATTATTAGTATGATTTTTAATAGAGCAAAACTTTATGTTATTTGGTTTGTAAATACTACTACGTATTATTTTTTATTTTTCTTCCTATTTTTTTTGAACCAAATCTATTGTAAATTACTCTCTCTGTCTAGAAATATTTGTTCATTTTTGACTTTTTTCGATCAGAATTGGTAGACGTTGAACTCAAATTAAATAAAAATGATATCTCGTATTAGATATTGATAGAAAAATAATTTTATTAAATTTATTATATAAAATATTTTTAAAATATTATTTTATCTAATTAATATATAGTATATTTTTTATTTAATTAAAAATCAAAACTTAAAAATGGTTGATTAAAAAAGTAAAAACCGGACAAAAGTATTTCAGGACGGAAGTAGTAAATGATAAAATGAATAAAAAGTTAGTGCTAGATATTGGTGGAGTATGGGCAGAAGCCAAATGATTTAACATAATATGTAGAATTAGCAAACTAGTGATTAAGCTAGAAATATTTATTTCCCACATCGTTTATTCATATAATATGTTTTTTTCTTTATAATTAGCCGGTAGTAAGATCCCGCCGTCAAGATGACTAATGGGCTCTTAGATGGACGAGTTGGAATCACCAACCATCTCTCTTTCTCTAGTAATGAGAAAACAATGTCTTCTTTATTTATAAATAAGGAGAGGTGGTTGGCGATTCCCCCATATCTGTTTATGAAATTATTATTTTTGTGACATGTCTTATTTATTTATTTAAGTTTTAAATTTTTGCGGTGGATTATTTTTAACTTTTGACTTACAATTAAATAAGAATTATATAATATATTAATTGCATAAAATAGTTTTACAAAATAAATTTTTAAAAAATTACATTTGTATCAATATTTAATATCAATTTTATCTATCTGATGGTCAAAATTTCACTGCAATATATCAAAACTAGATGAATACTTAGGTACGAATATTTAATAAAAAAACTGAATCTTTATTTATAAATAAATGAGGCATGTTCATTATGGGGGGATGTGTGCGGATCGGAGCGGGGTGAGAGTCACATGAAAAATTAGAGAGACATGAACAATCAATTTTACGAACAAAGCATCGAGCGCCTCCGAGTTATCCCATGACATATATCAAAACTAGATGAATACTTAGGTACGAATATTTAATAAAAAAACTGAATCTTTATTTATAAATAAATGAGACATGTTCATTATGGGGGGATGTGTGTGGATCGGAGCGGGGTGAGAGTCACATGAAAAATTAGAGAGACATGAACAATCAATTTTACGAACGAAGCATCGAGCGCCTCCGAGTTATCCCATGACATTGCGGGACATCTCAACCTTGGAATTAAAAGTTAATTTAAATGAATGGCTGAGATTCAACCCCAATTTTAGATCTAATAGCTCAAATCTTATCCCGGCGTTGTCCTTCGCCGCTCTCAACCACGACGACGAGGAGGTAAGTTTCCCACACCATCTCCCCCGATTATTTTACTTTCGATTTTCGTTTTGATATTTATTCTACAAAATCCCAAATCCATTTTTTTACATCTTTTAGTGTTAAAATTTTGTAATTGCATGCAATTTTCTCCACAAAATTGCGTACTTGTTCATCATTATTCATTCATACCTTAATGGAACTCAAATTTTTGTTGGTTTTAATGTTCCAAATTCATGCTCTATTCGTGTAGAACTGCAGATATTGTAGTGTTTTAAATCTTTAATTGAGAATAATGTTCATTTTAGTCTCTTGACTAACAACCTTTAAAATGACGTCAAAATGACATTAAAACTTACACTAATTTTTTCCAAAATAGTCATCTCTTTTGGGGTGTTTTCTCTGAATTAGTCCACTCTTGAAATAAACCCATTAAAAATTGTCTCACAACTTCGGTCAAACATCGCAAACAGATTAAAAGGGAAGACATCTGCTTTAGTTTTCCCATATTCAATGAGTTTTTACTTCAAAAATAGATTAACTTCAAAAAGTACCCTATTAAAAAAGACCATTTTGAGAAAAATACTGTATGTAAACTGAACATTATTTTCAATTAACAAATATCATTTCAGTAATTAGTTTATCTTAGGGATCAATTTGACATGTAATTATTGAGTATCATTTTGAGAGTTACTCATTCTTTTCATAATCAAGTCAATTGGGATCAAATCAATTCACATCATATGAGTAAGAACTTTCAATTACTCTCAAATCAAATTAGATATACTCCCTCCGTCCCTAAATATTCACAACATTTGTTTTTTCAGCAGTCGCAGAAACTTTTATTTATTTCGACGTTTTTATTGATTATTTGATAAAATAAAATATTCTTGACACCTCTTATTTTGAAAAACTTTTCATATAGTTTTTTTATATGTAAATTTTATTTTTTATTTTTATACTAATATGTAAATAAAATGAATTGAAAAAACTTGATATTTTACCTCGGGAATACAAATGTGACAAATAATTTGCGACGGAGGGAGTATTTAAATCAGATTTATTCTGAACTTGTTTTGTGAGCTTAGGAGATTATTTTGATATCTCCCAATATCAAAAATTTTTTGGGTCTTTATTAAAGCTCAAAATGAATTTGAATTTGATATTTTCAAATATGAAAGTTCTTTTAAATCAAAGGTATATCTCTCACAATTTTACTCATAGGTAGGTTACCACAATCACCATCAACCACTCCTTTGTCCACTACCCTGCCAACTGAGAACGACGATTTCTCAGTCAACCAAGTGGCCACCGTCGTTCGACACCGTCAGCCCCGTCGTCGCTCTCCTCGCGCTAACGCCGTGGCTTCAAATCTCGTAAGTATGTCCGAATTCCTGATTCAATGTTTCATCTAACATAGTTAAATTAACTCCTACCATAGTCTTTAATCGAGGTGGGCTTCCCAACTCCCGGTATCGAAGTAAGGTTTCAGATTCGCTCTACTACGGCTCTTAGTTTGGTACTCATTTGCAGATGCGAGAAGATTAATAAATCTTGAGTGATTTAAATTTGGTATTTTAGCTCAATTAGAATTTATGTGTTTCTGTTTTAGTGTTTCTCTTTCTGTCTTCTAGCCAAAACCCTTGTTTTCCATCCTGGCCAAATTCTTGGATTTATTTTTCTTTAGCTGTTGAACCGTAGTAGATGGTTCACAGGTTCTGGAGAAAACCCTAGCTCCTTGTAGATGGTCTAATTATTTGATTTCTGGGTTTGGTTTTTAAAATGTAGTTGAGTTTTTAAATTCCATTTTCAGTTTACTCTCATTATTTTTACAGAATTTCCAGTTAGATTGAAAACTCTCTACCATAAATGATTGCTCTTGGGTTCGACTAATGGGCTTTGTTCCAGATTATGGAGGTCACCTTTAATGATAGATTACATATGTGATTCCTCTTTCCTGCTTATCATTCTGAAGTCAATAAATACTTCCAGATTAAAAAAATATGATTTTTTTTCTGGTTTGAAGGGAAAAAAACCAGGGAATTCATTAAAGCCATAGTAGTTTTTGTCTCAGAAAATAGAAACTTTAGCTTGAGAGCATTTGAACACATGAATGGAAGGGAGATAATTAGGATTTAGGAGAATAATGATATTTCTTATCATATAACAAAAGATAAACTACATTATTTGAAGTTTTGCATACTTGGTATTTGTAGTACTAAGAAAAACTAATTCTATTTGCCTATTTAATCTCATTTTCTCCTTTATATTGATCTTGTATAATATGTGAAATGTTTAATTGTATAATACAAATATGTTAGACACTTAGAGCCTGTTCTTAATCAACTTTTAACTTTAGTTATCTAGCTATTAGATTCTAGCCGTATTCAAACTCTATCTTCCCCATTTTAGTTAAAATTAATGTTGTACTCAGTCTCAAGTCTTCAAACTCCACTTAAAATTAAGAGGAAAGAGACATGCCTCTAGTTTTTTTAACACTATTCCTAGGAACCACCTAAGTTGTCTAGGTGCTAGCCTGCTAGGTGACTCTTGCCCTCCCGACTAGCACCTTCTACAACAATATAAGATCTTAAAAAGAAAATGAAATAGGGGCTTGTTTTTTCCAAGTTTTTTTCTCAAGTATGGATTGGTCTTGTACTATTTTTGGATTTGTCTGGATAGGAAACTGAAACTTCTTGTGTCATTCTAACAGTTGTATCTTTCTGATTAATTGAAAATGTTTTTCTGCAGTGACTACAACTTTATGGTAACTAGTTCTTTCTATATCTTTCCGTAAGTGTGAAGAATGATATATATCTTCGTGGATTTGTCAGGCCATAAATTGAAAAGAAAGCCCTAACAACAACTGCGAGTACAAACATTGCCTAGTGTGGCACTATTGGAATTGACAAAAGGAAGCAAAAAAACCAGCCATGCATTGTGCTCTGAGAGTTCATCATCCAGTAGCAATTGGAAACTCTCCAATTGGGTATCCGTCCAAAGCCAGTGTTTTTACTGTCAAGTGCTCATTCCCTTCTGCTGCTCCGTCTTCAGGTGAACTAATATCTGAAATCTCTCTCATTAAACACATGTTAATTGGTAAATCCTGCTGTGCGCGACAGTGCATTATCTTGGGTAATTTTGTTTTCAATTAATGAACCGCTCCTTCAAAAAAGCAAACCCTGGGTATGTTTATCCTATTATTTCTTGTTTCTGATCAACAAATTAGATTGCTTCCAGTTATTCTTCAGACTTTTCATTTTTTGTTTCCCGTGTGTTACTCATAAACAAATCATTATTTTTATGAAACAACTCTCTTAGGAGTGGTAGATAGGCCATGGAAGTTGGCAGATGCCAGACTTGTCCTTGAAGATGGTTCAGTTTGGAGGGCAAAATCGTTTGGGGCTTCTGGGACTCAAGTTGGGGAAGTAGTGTTCAACACATCATTAACTGGGTGAGATGACTATGAAACAATGGATTTATTACTTAGAATATTTATTGACAGAAGTCACTAATCACTATATCCCCGAACTTATGGGCCTTTTCCCCAAACTTTTAAGTTGTGTGTGATCACACACCATTGTTCAACCATGACATTAGAAATCAATGCATCAGATGACCCGGGGTCCCTACAGGGCTCCATTTAAAAAATTGATGGTTCCTACCCCCTAACCCCCCAATAAACCCTCCCATCCTGTCTCGACCCGAACCCACCCCTCCCCCGTCAATTGCACCCCACAAAATGTAGTTGACTTTGGAGTCAAAAGTCAACTAAATCTTGTGGGGTGCAAATAAAATCCGTGCAATTGATGGGGGAGGGGGGTGGATTTGGCTCGGGACGGGGTGGGAGGGTTTATCGGGGGGTTAGGGGGTAGGAACCATCAATTTTACAAATGGAGCACCGTAGGGACCCCAAATGGAGCCCATGTCATAGGATGACATGAGGGGGTTAATGTCATTGGA